TTATCTGATCAGATAGTTATCGATGATGAGAATGTGATGTTTGTGAAAAGATTGAAGGATTTGAAGAAAACAAACATTTTTTTTTGGATAATTTGTTTTGACAATTTTACCTATCAATTAAGATGTCATTTGAGTTAAAATTACTGTTGAACGTTGACTGGTGATTTTATGGATGGAATGCGTGAAATGGACCAACGTTGTAATTATATATAAAGGTTTGGGACCTCAGCCGCAAAAATTAAAGGTTTGAATGTAATTTGCAACAAAATGAAAGGTTTGGGACCAGCGTTGCAATTTTTTCGAGTCAAAATTACTGTTGAAACGTTGATTAACGGTTGTATGGACGGAATTAAAGGCTTAGGACCGACGCTGCAACTACATATAAAGGTTTGGGACTTTGGCCGCAAAAATAAAAGGTTTGAGTATAATTTGCAACAAAGTGAAAGGTTTGGGACCACGGTCGCAATTTTCCCCTTAATTTATTGTAATTATGTTTATTATTGAAAAAAATCCAACTTGGATGGAAGGAGAGCGAAGAAATGAGAATTTGAGCCTAACTAGAGTAATCGAAGATCAACCGGATTGTATGTAATCAATAAGAAGGATAAAGATAACAATAATAAATAGGGGTTAATTTTCCGTTGGTGACTGAACTTTACAAATGTAATTTTATCCATCGCTGAAAACTTCAAAAGTTTCCCTATTAGTCATTGAACTTCAAAATGTAATCACATTCATCACTAGTGACTAATGGGAAAACTTTTGTAAAATTCAACCACTGATGGGAAATTTTTTGAAGTTCAATGATCCTTTGGAAATTTTATGCAAAGTTCAATGACCAATTAGGTAAATAACGAATATTTATTTATTTTTTTAGTCTTTTTCTTTATTTTTTTTCTTTTTTCTGTACTCCTATCCCACAATTTTACTATCTCCAACACTGTCAAACTTAGATAAAATAATAGCCTTTTATTCCGAGAATAATGGACAAAGTTGTCCGTTGACCTCTCTAAAATCAAAAATGTAATAGATGACAGTTCTATGGACTGTTTTAGCTTAAATCGTCTTTTCATCAGGCCACACCTAAATAAAAACCAAATCTATTAGATTCTTAATTGATAATATTTATGAATTCCAAAATTGAATACTATAAAGTGATTAATGATAAAAGAGTTCTCTTTCGTAATAGTCGATTGTATTGACCACTGTTGCCTCTTTGATGTCAAAGAGGTCAGCAGACAACCTTGTTGACTTGTTGATTACCCTCGAGATAAAGGCTATTTTCTTAAGCTTGACAATGCTAGATAGAATAAAATCATGCAAGGTGGGAGTATAGAAAAAAAGACTAAAAAAACATAAAAATTGATTAATTACATGATTGGTCACTAAACGTTTCGTAAGATTTCCAGTGGATTATAAACTTCAAATGTTTTCTCATTAGTCACTAAACTGTACAAATGTAATCACATCCATTACTGAGGACTTCAAAAATTTCCTTATTATTCACTGAACTTTACAAAATGTAATATCATACATCACTTAGACATGTTTGATAAGTCATTTTTTCCATGGAAGTTGGAAAAAAAATTCATTTTCTTGCTTTTAGGTTGTTTGATATGCAATATTTTCTAGGTAAAATATTTTCCCACCCCCACGCTTC